GCATACGATGACGCACACAGCGATAACGTGTCCCACAGGTGTTTGGATGTTCAGGTTAAAATAAAATATAGTGTTACATATTTAATATAAGGTTTAATTTCTGTTTCCAATTCAACTTAAGTAGTAAATAGATGTCGCATTAAATTGAAGATTAGGAAAAATTAGAAACTACTGGCATTTACAAATTATTTCCTTTTAACATAAGTCAATTTTGTATGTTACTCTGAATAGTAGACCCAAACCGCTCCCACTTTATGTTAACATTTCTTAAAAGTTACTGAACTCTCAAGTGAAAGGAAAAAATGGCATTCAAACTGTCATCTCTTCGATGGATGTCTCAATAACAGTATCTAATTGGACTTAGCAGATATTTTATGAATTGCAATTGATCACAATTTTAGGTAAGATGCATCATCCGCTACGTGGTTGAAAACCCGTCATGAATTTATTGGTTCCGAAATCGTGACGATTTTCAATACCTTATAAAAAATAATAAAGCAGAATTCACTAAAAATAGCTTTGGAACACTTTACAACACTGCATAACAAAAGTAAATAATGATTTCAGATTTAATAATCTCGACCACGTGTATAAAAACATATTACTCAACTTAGTGCATAAGGGCGGCTAAATATGCAGGCAGACACCGATGTCTAAGTGTTTGCTCAAGATAATTACAATCAATGTCTGAATAAAGTGAAACGCCCTACTGAAACACAAATTACCTGGTTACTTCCCCATGAGAGCAACCTTTGTCATAATGGAAAGCACAGCACACGCAGAATAGCAGATGGCTTTGTTTACTTGCAGTCCAAAGTGCACACTCCTCTAGTTAAATGGACTGATGGTTTTCAGTTGTGTATCTCCCATCGATGATGAATTGATGCTTCTGTATCCTTTTAAAGAGACAGTTCAGTTAGATTCAGATGTCCTAGTGTAGCTGCCAATCCCTATAATAGTCAGCCTTGGATAACGAGGTCAGCCAATACTAGGTCATATCGCGTTGGCTAGGCGGCATCGACCCTTGCTACACCTCAAGAAAAATTCATAAATAGCTGGTTGAAAAGGTACCGAAGGTTTAAATGTGATTTTTTTGGCAGATGACTTCAAGGCAAATTTATTCAGTATTTATGAGCTTTATAATCAATTTTAAATTCCTAAAAGAAGGTCCACTTATTTCAAAATGATATTCAAAAGCTCTCATCTGCTGAATAAATTCCAAACTAATCAGGTGGAAGTTTTCAAAAAACTTCAAGTTTCGAAGGCTTTGAATAAAAATCAGCTTCCTCCACAAATGACTAAACAAAAAATGTTGACTGCTTAAAAAAACTTAAAGCTGATCTCATTAACTGACATTGGTGTCTTGATCACAGTTCATTGTCTGCATTTGCGCTCGGTTTTACGTTAAGCCCCTGGCTGGCCTCAATGTAGAACGACTATAAGCTTGTTTTTTGCAATTTAAATTTACAGTTCAGCGACTGTCCCCCTGGGTTCTGGCATTGGAAAAAATAAGGCCTCCCTTTTAGCGGTTGTGTTTGGCTTATCTTTCTACGAAACTATGGGCATCGGCTTCGTTAATGCAGTCAACCCAATTTGACATTGCAGACTTGTCCAATGGAACCGCAACATGTTCCGTCGTGCAATGAGCTTCTTTAAAAGGTAGTATTTGGAGAACTTAATCTCCCCGTGGCTACGATGGTTTGTCTCGATCTTTAAAAAACTCCCATTACTCGAGAAACCTCAGGCGTGTATGAAATTCCTTGATTTAGTCTCCTGAACTTTCCCTCGATAAAAGTCAACCAGTCGAAGCTTTAACCACCATAAAAGCTCCCCTTCTAGATTTTCCGTCTTGTACTATTGATTGCCTGAACTATGAGCACTGAGAGCCTCAATCCTATCCACAATCTCCAACACATATTTTAAATAGAATAAGCATGTGTATATATTCATATATTTATTCGTTTATATGCGAGAATTTATATACTTTTAGCAGCATTACCCTGTATATTGATTGGAGTGGCATGGAACAGGGAAGGAAGAAGGGGAGGGAGGGGGTGTGGGAAGGAGACCGGAAAGGAAGGGAGCGGACAGGATAATCGACCATATTGATTGATAGAAGGGCGAAAAGGGAGGCGCGTAAGGAGATGTTTTTGATCGTACAACGATGCAGGGGAGTGCCAATGAGAGATGAAGAGGGGGGGGAGGGGGGAAGAGGTGAGAAAGAAAAGAAGTAAAAATAGTGGCGCTATTTACAGTTCACTCATCGTTGTTTTAATACATTCGCAAATATACCCTTGATGATGCAGAGAAAAAGAACCGCATCCAATATCTCGAAGATCACAAAATCTGCTTGAGTGGTTGGGAAATTCGAGATGAGTATCGAAAAGAGAGAAGAGTTGGAGAAGGGAGAGGTAAGAGAATGGAAAAACCCATGTGATATCTATAACAATGTGGAAGAGTACGTTAAGAATAATGCTGGGAGTTGTAGTGGTGGCTGACAGATGTGTAATACTCATCATTATATGTATCATAATTGTAAAAGAAACTGCTGATTCGAGCTGTTGACAAACATCCACCCTGTAACACGTTGCAATAGTTTGAGAGAAAGGGTAATGGTAAAGAAGAGAGATAGATAGATAGATAGTGCCCACCCTGTTTGAATACATCTCAACACATTTCGTATGATAAGGGAGAATTAATACTGTAATGAGAATAATAGTAGACAATGACTGGATGATGATACCGGTTGAAAAATTTTGGGCCTCACAAAAATGATTTAGGAGAATGAGTGAGAAAATGCGGGAGCCTTGATTTTCTAGGAGGCAGTTGTACCTGTTTCTACTGCCGTAGATCCAGATAAAGGCTCTTCACACCGACTTAATGCAGCTGCGGAGAAGATTATTGATCGTTTCTCGGAGGGGATGGTTGTAACTGTGGTGGCAATTGGGGGGACCTCTGTGCTACTTGTCACTGAAGGTGTTTGCACAGGTTCCGTGACCTTAGGATTCGCCGCTACTGCATTAGCTATTGCTGAGACCACAGGGAACATACCATTTAGAGGACTCGGCTCTTGTTTAATGTGCGGGAAGTTGTCACCCTCTATATCATCGTCATCATCACCTCCGTTGTCATGATGACAGCTGCCGGCGGGGGAAGCTTCTGTCGCAAATACACAGAGCGTCTCATTTTTCATATCGTCATCGTCATCTCGATGTACTGAGTTATTTCCTCCAATGGACACCGGGATCGAATTAACAGTTGAAGGCATTGGTACAGGTGCTCCAAAACCAAGAGATGACCTCGTCTGTTGTTCCAGGAAACTAAGAGTTGAATGTACTAGAGAAGGACGCTGGAAATCACCATATGGAGAGAAGTGGGGATAAGAAAATGGACCTCCGCCAATACCAGTAGTGGGGGTATAGTCCTCTAACGGGTTTGTTGCTCCAACAAAGTCGCCTGGAGGTTGTGGAACAAACCCAGTGCTAGATGATGAGGGTGCCGGCGATAGGAAAGCTCCAGAATTTGGACTCTTGGGATTAGATTTGTTGAGTAGATTTCCCTCCGACATCCACTGATCCTTCGTTCCGGATTGGTTGGTATTCTGTTGAGATTGCTGTGATTGTTGTTGTTGAGGTGAGGATGGTTCAGACTGAAGTCTCCCCGCCTTCAAGGCCTCGTCATATTCTGCGTCAGTCAGGAAACGAACACACTTCTTCTTTCGTCTACAAGGTTTACACCACCGGGTTTGTTGTTCAAGACCGAACCGAGCACGACACTTTTTGGGGTTTCCAAGATCAACTCCAGCTGCGGCTGCTGCCGCCAAAGCAGCAGCAGAATTCGATGAATTCAAGGACCCTCCGCTCCCATTGTTCCCATTTCCACCGCCGACAAAATATCCATCACCGTCGAAAAGGTCACGACGACCTGAACCACCATCCCCTCCGCCTGAATTCATCGCTGAGGCTGCCGCCACTGCTGCGGCTAATTTTCGTTTGCGTTTACGCTTCGAATGTATTGCATAGTTATCTCGAGCAGACCAGCTGGGGAACAGCTAAAACAGGAGATAGACATGTGCTAGTAATGCGAACTTCACCCATAAGTTAAGACTTCGCCTGTTACTTCCCATGTTTTCACAAAAAAGATTAATCTTTTGACCCCTCTAAAATAAAGCCAACGCCAGAGACATGTCTTCCTTCAAGGCCATTGCTTTAATTGATTTAAGGTACTAATTAAGCCATCAATCAAGTGCCAACTTGCAACAAATCGATTACTTTTCTAACGTTAAAGCTGTGTACAATGGAAGTGCGTGATGACAAAAAATATTGACATTTTGTTTTGCCGTAAAATATACCATAGCCATCATGATTTTCATTTAAAATCGGAATGATTCGAATTGCACCCATTGTATAATACACAATTTCAGATGGTAGAAGAAGAACTAGTAAGGACGTGTGTGTGGTGACTACGAAAAGGATTAACGGTGGTCTTTGCAAAGCTAATCCTCTGCCAATAGCGCACCTGATTGATTAAAATTGTAAACCTAAAACCGCAAGAAGACCAATCATTGAACTTTCCCTTAGCTGGGCTGCAGTGCATGAAGAATCAATCTATACGCTTATACATTCGCCTGTTCAATCATTACGAAGCACACTACTGGAATAAATATTATCACATTAAATGCATTCATTAAGTGAAATAAATGGCTAACCTGTCGATGAATTTCCTTCTCTTTCCTCGCTAACTCGTAGTATTTTGACTGTTCTGGCTTAGACAGCTCATGCCACTTTTTGCCAAGAATTTGGTTTATTGCTGCAGACTCTTTCAGTGTGCATTCCTCCTGAATTTTGGGTCGCATTTCTTTCATGAATAGCATAAACGCATTCAGCGGCTTCTTTATATGCACACGCTTCGTAGGCACACCAGTTCCACTATTTTCAGTTGTAATTTCACGACGATATTGCGCCAAAGTTGCTGCGTTTATTGTCAGACCCGGAGATGATGCTGATGCTGATGTCGATGTTCCTGTCTTAGACGGTGACCCACCAGCACCAGTTAGGGTTTGAGGAGATCCCGGGGAGCAACATTGGTCCAGGGATGATGACGCTGCTGCTGAGGATAATGGAGATCCACCGCTACCTACTGATCCAATTCGCATGAGCTTTCTCGAAGGAGAATGCTTGTCGCCTCCTCCTCCTCCCGCACCACTTAATGAACTTGACCGATTGTTTGTACACCTTAGAGGAGAAAGAATTTGTGATTACTACCAATAATTTTGAAATCAGCGACCTTTCGGAAAAAACAAACCTCTTTGATGAGTTGGGATCTGCGTGATATCGCGAGGATCTTGGATCTGTTCCATAATCACCACTCATAGAGTCCTGTTGTGACTGCTGCTGAGAAGCTGGTTGTAGTTGAGTGTATGTTAAAGGAGATCCATCATTCTGGGAGTCTCCTGCGTTTAGCATTGAGGAACCAAACTGCATGTTGGTCTTTGATTGACTACAAATGAGTAAATAACTCGTAATTCCATATACAACGATGGCAGATCCTAGTTGGCAAACACAAACAGATTTAAAACCTCAATTACAGGCACTTGATTCCTTAATTTCCTTTTTTAATTTACCTTCTTATGTGATCAACTAAGGAAATCAACCACCGTTCACACTAATGCTCTTGGTACCTCAACTTTTCGCCCATTTCTTGTAAAAGAGGCCGTGAATATAAAAGTATTCTCTGCATATTCCCATTTATCTAGTTGATGAATAGCTAACTGATGGTTAGGCTCTGACCAAAGTAAGAAATTGCCAAACATTAGATTACGCAAATGGTCATCATACCACGGCTATGGGACAACTTTAGGAAGGAACATCATTTTTATGTAATTGATCTTATGGTCTAATAACTGAAAACCTATTTAAAGCGTACTTAGTTAAAACACTTCAATTATTTGCCGAGTAAATTGTCATGATTCGATCCAGATTTACAATTTCAATTTATTTTTAGATAGATTAGAAATGATAAATGGAGCAAGATCTTATCGACACACACATATTTGCATTGCTAAAAAACTTGCGAAGACTCAAACTCCCGTCAGACAACCCCTAACCTTTCAATATCATAATTACAAAGCCTCTACCCTCATCTCCCGCTGAATACCAACAGTCAATCATAGTCCCAACCGTTTATTTCCCCCCACCCCAAACCTGATTTCGAAGTTTCGCGCTTCCACAACACACAGATTCCGGAATATTCCCCTCAACTTAAACTAACATTTTCTAAATTCTGCTCTTGAATTCATCACTATCACTTTCGCTCTTTCTTACTCCCCCTCCGCCCCCCTCCCCCCCTCCCCCCCGATAAGGCACTTTCACTAAAACCTTAACTTTCTTCTTCCTCTTAAATATAGCAGCCCTAGTGTTTAGTCTGCAACAAAATTGCAAAGCATAAGTGGAGACGACATACCAGTATGCAGCAACTGCGGCGGCAGCCGGTGATGCTGGTGACAGAGCAAAAAGCGAGAGAGCCGCAGCATGTGGACTACCTGCTCCCATATCCAGCTTATCTGCGCCGCCATTCGTGGCCACAGCGAGCGAATGATGGAAGGCTGCAGCACTGGCGAAAGGCGACACTGGAGGAGCTCCAGTGATGCCGGTAGGATTCGGACCACTAACTGACGCCGAAGGCGGCTGTAGAGGCGAGCTTGCAGAGGAAGAAGAGGCTGCAGAAGAAGCCGCTGCAGCTGCTGTCAAACTTGTCAGGAAATGTACAGCTGCTGCCTGTCGATTGTGTGGCGGAACGTGATTGAAGATACTAAAATTAAATTCAAGTAGGGGATACATTTATACTTGCACGAATTGCAGTTGCTTTGCTCATAGTCATAAATCTTCTATTTCCACATTAGCATAATAATAAATATTTCAGATCTACAGGTACATAGTTAGGACGTCCTCTTTCAGAGCGTACGTATTTTTTGTGAATATGAAAATGGGTAATAAAAGTTAAAGTAAATTGCTGTTAAGAGTTCACGGAAATGCTCGAAGTTCAGCATTACTAAACAAAATGCGGAAAAGAAAAACCAGTAGAAGAATTGTATTCTTATCCACGCGCACTGGCACATGTTTAAGAATTTGTACTTATGTGAATAAGAAGCTAGTGTCAACGGAAATCAGGAGACAAGCGTTTTCAAGAACTAGAGCCAATCTTAAGGGAACCGTTGGTAAATCATTTTGAAAAATTCTTCTGAATAGGCTCAGCAAGCAGATCTGTCAATGATATCGTAGCTGCTATTAAACAATGCGCCAAACGATATTAAAACACTGGCATTCTAAAATGCGTGTGCAATAAAGATCTCATTCCCCATATTACACAGGCGATTGAATTCACAACTTTATTCTTCTGTATTTGGTCTTTAAAGATGAAATAGCTTTTTTCAGAAGCCAATACCGGTCAATGAAACGGAAACTAAATCATTTCCTTAAATTGCATCAATGTATTCAGAGTTATCTACTTTTGCATATAAGTAGGTGTAATTTATTAGCTCAACAAATTAAGACACGAGAACCCACTTGGGAGTGAACGATGGTGAATTAGCGGCGGCAACAGCGGCTAGAGGACTCGATAGCCATGCGGCAGCTGCGGCAGCAGCAGAAGCGGCAGCCGACGCCGACGCAGCTACAGCAGAGGAGGAGTTGGTGGAATGTTGCGCTGGAGACTGCGAGCTGGAAGTAGCAGCGCTGTTTTGTGGTTGTGGAGGGGCGTTGGAGCTCTGCTGTTGAGATACACTTGGTTGCTGTGAGGGAGGATAAGCCGATGGGAAAACGCTGTTTGAGGCATCAGGTGGAGAGCGCGTGGGATAGAAGCAGCTTCCAAGAACCGCCGCTGCGGCTGCTGCGGCTGCTGCGAAATGACGACCTGCTCCTGGAGTTGTGTATGGAGATGTCGGTCCCATTCCAAAATGGCTTGACATCGGCTGACCGTAGGCCGCCATTCCATAGAATCCACCTGGAACAACAAAAATAGATTATACTACTCAAACGCCTTTTCTGTAACTGGATTAAGAAAAGTCTCCGATATAGACAATCAGTTTGTGCAACTAAAATGAATACAGTTATTACATGTTCATCAGTTGACTGCACGTCGCAAAAAGAGAACAAAAATTGAGGAAAGTACATGTATTTGCACTGGATTGGTAATACTTTAATGCATTTGCTTTGTGATTGTATATTGGTATTTTTATTTTCTCCCAGTTCGTATTTTTAAAAATCTCACCCTTCATTCACACAAGAGGAATTTCGATGAAATAGCAAACAGCAAAGTTTAACTTACATTGTCAAAAGAATCTGCAATTTTGTACACGGGAGCAGTCATTAAAACTTGAGTAACAAAAAGTGAATAAGATTTCGATTGAAAGACTATTATGATCTCGACAAAATTTCGAATTTGTGCTACAGTATTCAGATCAACTCCGATACGTAATCTTCTCTTAACTTTTCACTTACTGGTCCAAGAACTACTACTAACTATTCAAAAGGTTACATATTGTAGATAATATAAAGAGGCGGATATTTGAGTGGAGAAGTGTGATGGTAAAGAACTCGATTAAGGTAGAGGACGAACTAGTAATTGGCATAATTTTCACAACTTTGAAAGTAGCCTTTCGATATCAATCTTGACAGTCAGAGCAACTCAAAATAGGCAGAAAAAGGCGGATTAATTGATTCAATTTTCGGATGCTCTTGAAATGATGACAGTTGGATAGGAAAAAATAGAATAGAAATAGGCAATAAAGTAGTAGACAACAAGATCTCTTGGATATAATGGCCAATAGCTGCTATCTCGGCAATTCGAAGGAAGAAGATGTAAAATTGCAGGAGGTAAAAACATGGACGAACACCGGAAATATATGCAATGTAAAATGCACTATACATACATCAGTCTAAATTGAGATGAAAAGGAAGGAGGCAGGCTACCAAGCAACTAACGATGGACAAGGGGGCATAAATTAAACTAAGCACCAGTTTATAATTTATGTTAAGTAAATTCATTTGCAAATCGTCGAGAGTGGTGGTAGTCGTTGACGCAGCGACAAAAACACCGATGGATGCATGTATGTATTTGTTTGTTTAAATACATGCAAAATACGCTCGCGTGCATTTATATTTGGCGATGCATGTTTGCGAAAGTGAGGAGGCGAAGTTTTAGTGGGTGTTTTTGTTCCTACCAGACAGTCGGTCGGAAGGGACCGTCAGGGTTAAATGGTGGGGTGGAGGGGGGGATTAGAAATGGATCCTCCCTAGTGCTTCCTTTCCTCATCACCTTCTGAAACAGGCAGGCAGAAACGTTTAGGGGGATAAAAAAAGCCACGTACTAAAGAAGGAGAAATTAGACAGACTGGGAGAACACATTCCTCAGATCATAATAATAACCACATTAGATTGTCTCCAAGTTTACAACTTTCTGGAATTCGCTAAGTTAGTCAAATCTATTTCAGAACACCTCCAATCAACATCTTATTACATTACTAGGCAATTATAAAGCATTGGGGACCCTAAAAACAGGTGCTAATATTTAAGAGGTTGGAATCCTTGAAATGAAGGATGTTTAAATCAATTAAATTTATTCCTACTGAAGAAATAAAGTTCCTTGTGTTTGATACCTTAGCGTAATTCTGGGAAGTACATTTGGAATCATAAGTACCTTCTATTGCATCAGCTATACTAACATTACTTTGTAAAAAATTGGGTTAGTGAGTCAAATGTTAGTACGTCAGATGGTGATTCAAATGCACCCAACGCGTCCTTTCAAGTAGACGCTCATGCGTAATAAGTTCTAAAGCTACTTAACTGGTTGTACAACTTCTCGATAAAAATAGGTAAAAGGAGACTATCATCAAAGATGGCGTATTTCTTTGAAGATTCCATAGCCCAAATGCAAGCAAGGCGCTTAATTAGAGGTTAGAAATTTAACGATTTCTAACTTTGTAGTCAGTGTTTTGAGTTATGATTTCTGAAAATATATCTGAAGCTAAAAGTAAAAGGAATAATGAGTAAACAGAATTGGAGTTTGTCCTTAATTACCACTTGCCTAGAAAAGCATTTACTTAAAACGAATTCAGACCCAATAGGTTCTCAAATCCCACTAAAAAGCGAATTAAGTAGCAAGAATATGGTAACTAAGATCTATTTATTTGCTTATTTCTTACATAATTTTAATTTGAACACCCCTTTATCTCACCTCAAGCTTGATCATTTAAATATTTCAATCAATGGGAAATAAATATTAACATTAAGATTGGATTACACATTTTGCAACAATTGAACGAAAATTCTAACAAAGAATATTTATCTGCATAATTTTTTGTTAAACTAGAACTAAAGTGTGTTCGAAATATAAAACGCAGGTTATTTGACCGAAAGGAGGTAAATTCCGAAAACTATTCGGAAAACTCCCTCCACTAAATTGTTAACGCTATCAATTAGCACCAATTCTATTCTTGATATTGACCTTAAGCTGTCAATTACGGTAGTACACCGTCTATGAGATCATTGGAGAGTAGTCTATACACGTCTGCACATAATAAAACCACTGTCATCGTCTCAGGAGAATAAAACTATACCACCGTGTAGGTATGGCGCGAGAGGTATTCGTGCGTCTTAAACTCTAACTCAAACTCTATGTTGACTGCCTGGGAGATGGGATCCGAATAAATTTCAAGTCCTAATTGATTTCTTAAATGATTCTCTCTGCTTTGATGAGAAAACGTTGGGAATGCAAACAAAATTCACTTGAGACTAAGTGTGCTTGAACTTGCTGTATTTTCGTCAACCTCGTCGCAGGAGAGTAAGTAGGTGGAAATGACGGTAGATGTGAAACAAAGCAGGGTAAATTCTCAGAAAGTCCAATTTTCAGGCGGCGACAAAATCACCACCAAATGAATTCTCTCACACGCACTCGTATATTTGAAGTGATGTGGCAAAGGTAATTTTTCACGTAATTCGAGAGAGAGAGAGAGTAAGTTTTCTTGATAAGGGAACCCGAAAATAAAAATTGTGACTTTTGTGAGATTTTCTATGAAGAAAAGATAAATAGGTGCAATTTCGGGTTTTTGAGAGAGGAAGAGAAGTAATTTAAATCGTCTCCTAGACTTGTGACATTTTGCAATAGCACACTAGGCAGACACAGTGCGAGCGGTGTGCGAGACACTCAGAATTTTGTGTCTGGTCCCGCCGAAATGACGAGAAGATTGTTGTCCGAGAAAAATGCGCATAAAAGTTAGCAATTATTGGCTAGTAGATACTTTGTTTTGAAAAAGTACTGCGGAAAAGCAACAACCATCTCCAGACAGTAATCGGACTTCATCCACGACATCTCAGACAATAAACAGTAATTATTCAGACTAGTTCGTGTTCTGATAGTAGCGTTCTAAAGGCCACATAACTTATCCAGAAGAAAAATAAGAACTTTTGACAATTTAATTCATAATTTCGTGGTTTCATATGTTTAAATCACGGTTCGACACATATTAGCAGTTCTTTTTCACCACTTAAACAGATCTACTTTAACAAATTTCAGTTTTATTTGAATCCATTACAACAATTCCTCAGATCAAAAAAAAAGGATTTTGGAGAATCAAGATCATAAATGACTTTGAGGGAGATGTAAGTGTTTACTTAAATGACTTTGAAGGTGTGTAAAGGGGACACCTGTATGAATGAAGCAACGAATTTAGGTGTGATCTCATATTCACGCTCATGGCTGTAAGGGCATGACGCAATGTGGAACAACTAATCAATTATCGCAGACACGAACTCACCAAAGATATCAAAGCAAGCGTCAATGATGTCTATTAATTTTGAAGAGCATTTTCTCTGAGTACATTTTTCAACAGTTCCATCGAATGCACATTCAAACAAATATCTATTCCATTGTGGCTCAAACCAGCAGTGGAAGCAAAAGTTTCAAACCCAATCTTGAGTATAGTAAAAAATAGCTAATTCAGCATTGACTCAGTTTTTATTTACGCCTTAGGACTTCTAAAACCGCATATCCACTTTAGTATCAATGCCAAGAAAATTTTGTTCACATATAACTATCTCAATAAGGGAACCTTTCAGAAATTTGTAATTAACGCAGAAAGAATGTAAAGTAGGATGAATAGAAGATAAAGATATATCCGTAAAGACAAATGAGCCAAAAATATTCCTTAGAGAAGGATTAATGATTGCTGAAGCAAAAGAGTTGTAATGAGCAGCTCACTATAAACGACCAAGTTTTCAGCCAAACTTCAAGTCAACTAAGTCCAACCTGCTAATAATCTGAGGTATTCATTTTTAAAAAGTCAGAAATCGATAAAAACATAGAGGACACAGTGGTAGTCTACACAATCATCAAACTTCCCTCCCCCCACCACCACCACCACCATATTCCCATCCCTACCATGCGTAAAAATTAGCATATTTCTTGATGGGCTCGAGGGATGTTCACTTTCGCATTCGTAGGAAGAGAAACCAAAGGTTGCCGAGCTGTCATCTTCGAAATAAACCTTGACTGAACCCCCCCCCCGCACTGCCCCCCCCTTTTTGCAAAAATACACGTGCTCTAATAAATACACAGGTTATGAGGGAGAGGCAGAGAAAAAGAAATATTTGTGTACGTTTCGCAGAGGCAGAGGAAGATGCAGAAGCTGGCATATACCGCGTGGAGATCCTCCGTGTATACGAGAGGTCAGTCAGATGCGTCCATTAGTGAAAAGGTTAGCTCCATTCACACAGACAAACATTTAAAAATGGTAGCCTTCTCCCTCCCTGGGTGGATTAACTAGTCTGCTATTTTTTATTTTCAATCCGCGTAGACGAGACACAAACACACACACACACACATAACCAACACACCTCATTGAAGGGGATTGGGAGACCAAGCAATAAGTCAAAAACGAGGAAAGGCGAGGCAAGGAAAAGCAGGGAGAAGGGAAGAAAAGAATAGCAATCCTGCACGCAAGCGAA